CATCCTTCCTGGAACTCTGCCTTTCCCAGAAACAAACTAATCTAAAAAGTTATATCACTGAGCATTTAAAAAACCAGATTAGCCAATTGTCTTTCATGGTACGGATGGTTATTTATAGCATAAGTAGCTTAGTTTTAACTCACATTTAACTTCACTGTTAGCTTAGAGAACAATGACAGAATTTTTTAAAATTTTATTTATTTTATCCAATAATTTTAAAATTAGATGTAATCAGAAGAGATAATAACTATAAAAATACATGTATATATCAAGTATTTGGTATAAAGTCTTAATACTGACTTTTTTTTTTAATTGGAAAGTCAGGTTTTACTGAGAGAAGGAGACACACAGAAGATATGCCATCCACTGGCTCACTCCCCAAGCAGCTGCCATGGCCAGAACTGAGCTGATCCAATCCTAAGCCAGGAGCTTCACACAGATCTCCCACATGGGTGCAGGGTGCCAAGGCTTTGGGCCATCCTTGACTGCCTTCCCAGGCCACAAGCAGGGGGATGGGAAGTGGAGCAGCCTGGGACACAACCCGTTATCCACGTGGGATCCCAGCGCATACAAGGACTTTAGCCACTAGGCTACCATGCCATGCCAGCCCACTACTGACTTTTTATTAACTTATTTAGACATTCATTTAATAGGTCCGTGTCTGCTATTTGCATTTTCCTTACTAATTTCTCCTTAAATTATCCTGAGGAACAACAATCTGGCTCAAAGTTACGGTGTACTAACAACTGTTATTTTGACTTCTTGACTACATTTATGCATTTTTCTTCATAAACATAAAAACACTGTACATGGTTATTAATAAGGCTACATCCTTATAAGCTACTTGATGTTCTCTTTCATTTTACCTAGACAGAAGTGTCCTCTCTGTACTACTCCTCTATCTCACTGGCCTGGTAAGGCTAAGGGTAAAACTGCCTGCTCCGTAGTTATGAACAAATTCTCAATGGCAGCCTGATCCCCATGGTTATCAGGATGCTTCTAAACAAACTCTATTGTCTTATCAAAACCAAGAATGAACTTTAAAAATGGATTCTTTACATAAGAGAAATCTTCTGGGGGTGTCATGGCACAGTGGGTTAAGCCACCGTGTGGGAACTGGCATCACGTTAGGAATGCCCCTCGAGGCCTGGTTCCTCTGCTTGTGCTGTAGGGCTGTTAATATGCCTGGGAAGCAGCAGAGGCTGGCTGAACTCCTTGCCTTCCGGGTTTGGCCTGGCCTGGTTACCTGGAGAGTCAGCCAGTAGATGGAAGATCACTTTGCGCCTCTCTCGCTGTCATTCTGACTTTAAAATAAAAGAGCAAATAGCAAATCTTTAAAAATAAAATCACTATTTTGGAATGCTGAAAGGCTACTACTAAAAATTGACTTCAAATTACATAGTCTCCTACAAAACTATAGATGCTGCATTATTCACCTTAGTTCTTTTGATGATTAATTTTAAGTTGTTAGTTTCTACTTTTATATTTAAAGATGGCTTTACCTCCTGAGCCACTTTAACATGCCCAGTGTGTGATGATTTTAAAATAAGCTTAAAATAAAATTAAACTTAAATTTAAACCTAAAATTCTGAAAAGTTGATTTCCTCTGTATGCACCTTGCAAATGAAAAATAAAGGCTGAAACCATGATGGCATTTATAGGAAAACAAAAAGGAAGGCTTTGTAATAGCTTGAATTTTAGTATAACAACTGACAAAGCACTGAATACTGATGTAAGGAGTGTTTATATATTAAATACTGAATATTGACGTAAGGAGAGTAAGACAGACTAGCAAAAATCATCTCAACTTGTTAATTCTAATTCAGAAGGAAGGGACGAAAAGGGCATTAGAAAAATTTAATGTAGAGAAAGGTATATTAAATTTTGATTAAAAGAGATTCTCCTGGGCCTGGCGTAGCCTAGTAGCTAAAGTCCTTGCCTTGAATGCGCCGGGATCCCATATGTACACCGGTTCTAATCCCAACTGCTCCACTTCCCATCCAGCTCCCTGCTTGTGGCCTGGAAAATCAGTTGAGGACGGCCCAAAGCCTTGGGACCCTGCATCCGCTTGGGAGACCCAGAAGAGAATCTGGGCTCCTGGTTTTGGATTGGCACAGCACTGGCCGTTGAGGCCTCTTGGGGAGTGAATAATCAGACAGAAGATCTTCCTCTCTGCATATCGGACTTTGCAATTAAAATAAATAAATCTTTTGGTGTCTCTCCCTCCTCTTTCGAGAGGCACCCCACCTCCCAGCTTCCTTTCCGGAGGTGCTTCCCCTTCCTTCCCTTCCCTGCTTCCTCGGTCCCTTCACAAATAAACTTTACTGTTTGCAAAAAAAGAAATAAGTAAGTAAATAAATAAATCTTTAAAAATATATATATATATATTCTCCTGAATTGAAATAATTAACAGGAGACTGCAATCTTTCAAGAAAGGCAAAACAAGGGATCTTTGAGGTATTTAGGGCAGGTGTAATGAAAACCGACAAGGGCTAAAATGCTGTCCCAACTGAAAAGGATTCCGAGAATTCACAAACAGGAGCCTGGCCTGAAATATGGTTATCCAGCAACACTGGTAGTCAACCTTAGGCCTCAACGCAAGCAGATAATGCAGTAGATAGCGTGAGAGACTCAGTTCCTTAAACCTTAGGATGATTTTACCTATTAGAATCATCTCTGGGACCCTGCGTGATTGTGGCTAAAGTCCTCGCGTTGAACACGCCAGGATCCCATATGGGTGCCGGTTCTAATCCCAGCAGCACCACTTCCCATCCAGCTCCTTGCTTGTAGCATGGGAAAGCAGTTGAGGACGGCCCAAAGCCTTGGGACCTTGCACCCACGTGGGAGAGCCAGAAGAGCTCCTGGCCCCTGGCTTCATATCAGCTTAGCTCCAGCCATTGCAATCACTTAGGGAGTGAACCATCGGATGGAAGATCTTCCTCTCTGTCTCTCCTCCTCTCTGTATATCCGCGTTTCCAATAAAAGAAAAAAAATCTCTGAAAAATATTTGCTAAAATGGTAAAATAATTTTTAAAAATTTATGATAGTAAAATATGAACAAATGACATGGTGAGGTACAAAATAACACCGAGTTATATTTCATATTTTTCAAGGTTCAAAAAGATCTTGCACCCTTATCTGCAATGAATAAATAGTCCCACAGTACTTTAAGAGCTGACAGAAGTTAAGAGCAAGTCTGGATATGTGCCAACTCACGCTGTAGATGGTGAGAACTCATAAAGCTAGCCATTACTCTTTTAATCAAATATTTTGCTCCTTTTTTAAACAAATATTAAATAAGCCAGTTGAAAACTTGAAAGGAAGGTAACTCAGTTTCTACTAGATTAAGCCTGTCTTGTTTGTACCAACAGGCTAACTTACAATGAAGATGGCTAATCTAGAATTTGGTTCTATTTTGGCATTAACACACTACAGACAAGTATCTGTTAATTTCTTTGGCTATGGTCAACAGGCTCCAAGGAGAAGAGAAAATATTTCCAGCTCATGAGGAACTAACTACAGGTAGAGTAACTTGCCTCATTTATGATACCTTAAAAGTTTCTGGTATCTAAAAAAACAGAACAAATAACGAGTATTTTAGCTGTAACAGCAAATTATGAGTAGGCAACTTCAAAGGCTGTTCTCAAACCTTTTAATATCAGATCCAAACTAAGAAAAAAAAGTGCAATCCTTTCTATACTGATTCAATGAAAATAAGACATTCATATTAGTATCACGGCAGCTCACAAAAGTTAGCTATTTGCAATAAATTGGTGCACTTGTGAAAACTACTCTTAATACATTTCTAAAGACTTATTTTTTCCCTTGTATAAAGTACACCTTAAACTATTCATTCTCTTGCTGTAATTGGTAAACTACTCAAGTTATGAAACTTTGATGCTTATTTCATGCGCTAATTTACATTTATGTAATAATTTACACTACTATGGCGGAACTATTTCAAAGTTGATTTTATAAATAAAGTACATCAAATTTTTAAAGCTCAAAACATTTCTGATAAGTAACACAGTATCAACAAGATATTTTGTCACACAATGACTTTAAAATGACACACGCCAGCCAATCAAACCTAAGAACCTAAAGCATCTTCTACCGCTGCCAGGCCATGTGGCCCATGTTTTGCTATTACACATGCATTGAGCAACAATTTTTTTCTAATAAAAGAGGTAGGTGGAATCCATGAGCAGTATCTAGAACTATGCCAGAAGACACAAATGCATTGCCAGGCAAGAGTTAAAAAGAAATCTAGCAAGCTCTCTGTGGATTTTAAATGCTCTTTGCACTCATATTAATTAAACACAGGAGGACAGAGTGCTAATAAATATTCAGCAAAATAATCCAATAGAGCACATACTACTTTAAATGGGTTAAGCAGAAAGATAAACCAAATTTTTTAAATTAAGTGAACTTCACAACTATACCCTATATTTTAAAAAGTTAAAAATAAAATCTTTTCTGAGAAAGCAAATTGTTTTAGGAGTATGCACATCAATAAAGCAAATCCAGTGAATTCTAGTAAACAAAATATATTTAAATTTCTTTCTAAAAATCAAATGACTGTTTTTATAGTTTGGTCTTGTCCCTTCTCCAGTTTTTTAATTTGAGACAAAATCTTGCTTTGTATTATGACAGGTGTCATAGAGAAACTTCACAAATTAGCACAAAACCAAAAATACTTTTGCATTAAAATATGTTGGACTTGTGGCTTTCATATCAAATTCAATAGAATATATAAATCCTTTAAAAAGTACATTGCACAAAATGCACTAAAAAGAAAAGTATGTTTATATTCTTTCAAAATATACATTAGCCTTTTGGTTTATATTGCTGCTTTGTTCCATGCTAGATACCCCATAGCTTCCCCTCTAAAAAAAATAAATAAACATCAGTTTTAATCACAAGAAACCAGTACAGTGCAAAGCAGTTCATGCATACACTTTCCCATGTATGCATTCCATATGTTACGGAAGTATTCATACCTATCCCAGAGGCTCTTTGATTCCTGAAACGTGTTCAAATGGAACGCTTGGTAGAAAGCAGTTGAAGGATTCCTGTGAGATCCGAGAATCAAATGGAAATGAGGTTGAGAATGTACAGTAACACCACCACTTTCCAAAAAAATAAAAAAGGAAGATTTTAAATTTCTAACACCGTGCAAACTGCTTTCATAAAATCAAGAGAAGAAACATCACATAAACTTGCTCAGAACAACACTGAAGAAACTAAAAACCAGATAAAATCCAGGAGACCCCCTGTGGTAACTTAGAACAATTCTAACAGAAAGATAACACAGGAAAAAAATTAGATATTAAGCAGCATCTAATTCTCTATGTGGATACATATGAATGTGATCAGTTCTCAGTTTGACCAACACTAATATGTATCAAATGCCTTTGGTTTAGCAATTTAGCAAAGCAGTTCTCGCATGAATTTTTAAGCAAACTAAGTAAGTCCATCCCTTCACAATGCAGAAACTCCTCTTAGGATTTATGAAATGCAGGAAGGACTTGTTAATGAACAATGAAGAGGCCTTTCTCAAGTTTGATTTCTTCTATTCCCACTTTCAGAATCCCCAACACGTATGTGTGATTTCTCTAAGCACAGGGAAAAGGCAGCTTTCCAACTCCTCGCCTGTGTCAAAGGTAGAAGTCTGTCTAACATAACTATCACTCAGTTCTACCACTCCTAAGGGGCACATCCCCAGGACCACCACCACAGAATCCTAACGGATGGGCTCACGTGAACAAGTTTGCAGTAGAATGATCCACGTCATACTTCAGGAATACTTAGGGAACTAAACTTTTGATAAATCTGCCCCCTCGCAGGCCTCTCTCCTCCTCACTGCTTCCATAATCTCTCCAATTCCCCAAGCTACACAGTTGGGAGCAAAACAAAAACCTGTCATATTTCACTTTAAAAGCTCTTCACTCAAGCAGGAGCAGAGTAATAACTACAGTTAAGAAACTGCTTATTATATTTCAGAATGGCCCTAAGAGCTAGGTGCTATTATTCTCCTCATCTCAGAGATTAAAAAAAACCTGGGTCAGATTATAGAAACTTGCCTGATGTTAGTTAGTAGTGACAATCTGGTCCCAGAGTTTATGCTCTTAAACCACTAAACACACAACAGAGTTATACTTGGACTATGCTGGCTCTGTTAAATGGGCGTAACACTCTCTCGCCTTATAGGACAGTGAAATAACTAAGTATTCAGATTTAGTTGTTTTTTTTTTTTTTCCAGCATACAGACATTTCAGTGGCTATAAAAAACAAAAAAACAAAAACACCACCAACAACAAAAAACCAAACTTGGGTTCTGACACAACACGGCAGTTCTGAGGCTCTCTGGTGCTGCACGCTTAGTTACAGCCTGTGATGCTGGCATCCCTTTTAACTGTGCCAGTTCAAGTTCTGGCTGCTACACTTCCAACCCAGCTCCCTGCACCTGTGAGACAGCAGATGGCCAACGTCTTCGGGCCACTATCACCTATGTGAAAGAACCTGGCTTTGGCCTGGCCTACCCCAGCCGTCACGACAATGCGGGGAGCAAACCAGTAGATTGGTCATGAAACACCACTGCATATACAGAATTCCATTATTTCAAAATTCAGATTAAAGACTCACATTTTATGCCACATGTTAAATTAAAAGAAGTATTTTGGGAAAGCATTTAACAACTTAACCAGTACATAGTGATCTCTCTTTTTAAAGATTTATTTATTTATTTTTATTGTAAAGGCAGATTACAGAGAGGAGAAAGATCATCCATCCACTGGTTCACTTTTCAAGTGGCCGCAATGGCTGGAGCTGAGCCAACCCAAAGCCAGGAGCCAGAAGCTTCCTCTAGGCCTCCCATGCAGGTGCAGGGTCCCAAGGTTTTGGGCCATCTTCTAACTGCTTTCCCAGGCTACAAATAGGGACCTGGAAGGGAAGTAGAGCAGCCTGGGATACTGTCATCTATGTGGGATCCCAGCGCATGCAAGGTGAGGATTTAGCCACTAGACTACCGTGCTGGGACCAGGGATCTCTTAGATAATCAGCAGTTGTCAGAGTATCAACAAAGCCCAATATTAATATGTATACTAGCATTGCTTGCCCTTCCCCCCCTTTTAACCCTAAGTTCTCCAAGGCAACCAAAGGCACTGATTAGACTTGCTAATAACCAATAAAACACTAAGAGGCTTCTAACAACTACTTGCTTAGTGTTTTGCATAACCTCAAGATATACTTATTTGCCAGGCCGCTTTTCACCATATTAGAACTTAGCATGACATAGTATGTGCTACTGTTTCTGACCATTTTACCTGGAATGTTAACTATAAATGAGGATTTTGTAGCAAATACTACTACTAATAATTACTCTCCAAACACTGACTAATCAGCAAACTAAAAAAATCTGGGCAACCGAGCTTGTCAAGAAGCTTCAAGGTCTGAGAGGAAAAAGCACCCTCTGTAAATACTGAAGGGCCAAAGACTTAAAATTGAGAGTCCCAGGTAAATATTGTCAGATGCATCATTTCAAGGTTACAGGTGTGTGTGTTTGTTTGCTTTCAAGCCTGAAGCATGAGAAAGGCATAATTTTAAAATGTATTAGAGAAATATTATGTCCCACAAACACCTCAAAATTAAGTTACAACAAAAACTGTGGAAGCTTAAAGGGTGAGGTGTATGACTTCCAAACTTCCCAAACACCTTACTTTCTCTTGCAGACATTTAAAGTCCACTGCAGAACCCTCTTGGGCAGGCATCGACACAAGAAGCAAAGCCATCGCCTGCAATGCTGGCAGCCCATATGGGCAACAGTTCAAATCCTGACTGCCTCACTTCAAATCTGGTTCTCCACTTAAATGCCTGGAGAAGTAGCAGAAAATGTCCCAAGTTCCTGAGCCTCTGTACCCTGGTGGGAAACCTTGATGAAGCTCCCAGTTCATGGCCTCACAGCCGCCTGGAGAGCAAACCAGCAGACGGTAGATCTTTCCCTCTCCATCTCTTTACCTTTCAAATAAATCAATCTTCGAACAAAAAAAAAAAAAAAATCAATAAGGGCGTTTTCCAACATTGATATCTGGGTTAACAGATTAAAGGTTCCTTAAGGGTTATAATACAACAAATTTGCAGCTGCAACAGCTTGTCCTCCCCATCTTACCGTCCACTTAATAAAACAAGACTTCTGACTCTGAATACCCCCAGAGCAATGGCTTTGGAACCAAAGGTTTTAGTATGGAGTATGTCTTATTATTTAAACGTTGTGACTCAACTCACAGCCTCACAATCCTCATTTAAAAAGGGGGAAGAAAACATTTCTTTCAGGTTATCGAAAAGATTAAATAAGATTAGATATAGACAGGGTCTGACACAAACCTGATCCTTATTTTTATATAAGATTATAGTTTCTACACAGCTGTGTAAAACTCAACTTTTGGTAAAGCATCTCAATATATACTAAATGTCTCACCATAATTAAGGCTTTACTTAGGTAGAACTACTTATACTAAACTAGCTAGCATATTCCACTGGATAAGAATTTGGCCTTCGGCTGACTCAAAACTCCTCCATTTAAGTCCTTCGCTCTGGTCAAATTAGTGAGATCACTTTCCAAATATGAGATTTTCACTCTTGCATATCATTTCACAAGTTTCCTTCATCCATGGTTTGTAAGCTCATCTCTTTTAGGATTCAGTTTAAGAGTCTCAGAAGAACAATGTGTTGCTTCTGAGGACAGAAAACAGGTGGCTAAAAAACACAGATGGCAGGCTTCCAATTTATGCTGCTTTGTGTATCTTAAACTATATAAACATATTACTTATGTAGAAAACAATTCTTAAATAAAGTCAATTTATTCTCTCTCCACCCCAATCAAATCTGATGTTCCAAATTGTTTCCAGTAGCACCTTGTATTTTTTCATTATGGCATAAAGTGTCAATCAAATATGCATTTAGTACTCATTTGCATACAGCCTAAGATGGTGGAGAGCAGGACAGTCTTTCCTGTGCGTCAGTCCTTCCTACTCAGATAGCACGGCACAAGCTGAATGACTGACATTTTGCTGCTCTCAATGTTTCCATGGACATTCAACCTGTTAACTACTTAATTTCATTCACTATTCAAAAGGTTTAAGTTAGCGGTTCTCCATCACGTTTGAAAGCAGGGGACCAAGGGCTGGTGAGATACCTGAGTGCCTATATTCTCGCTGTGCATGCACCAGGGTCCCAAATGGCTCCAGTTGTGTCCTGACCGCTCCACTTCCCAACCCTCCACTTGCTACTTATGACCCAGGAAGATGCCCAAAGCCTTGGGACCCTGCACCTACATGGAAGGCCCCAAATTTTTGCAGCTCCTGGCTCCTGATCAGCTCAGCCATTGCGGCCACTTGAGGAGTGAACCAGTGGACAGATTTTTCTCTCTAAATCTCCTTCTGTATCTGCCTTTCCAATAAACACATTAGCAACAACAAAATAAAACCCAAAAACTAGGGAATCACATATTGAGCACATGGACTAGACAGAACCTTAAAAATCTGAGCAGGTTCCAACTGCTGACTTCATACTTTACAAAAACTGAGTAAAGGCAAGTAACTTGATCATAGAAACCAGCTAACTGAGCCAGAATTAGAATACAATTTGCCATATTCCTACAAATGGACTGTTTGGCCTAAAACAGTACTTCCTTTTCTCGGACTCCATCCATACCGTACAAGTAAGGACACTTTCAGATCAGAAACAGGTTCTTGGTGTGATGTGCAGCATGGCAGACTGATCTGGAAGGGCAGTCTGGACACTGTAACCCTCATGCCTCTTGCCATACATGTTGTGTCAGGTTACCACTGTTCACAAATAACTTGCACACCTCATTTACTCTTTTCACCATTTTTCATATGGAAGAAGCAAGTTTTAAGAGTGCTAAGCAACCCGCTCAAGGTTAAGTGCATCCAATGCATTGCACAGTTGAGTTTTAGCCCGAGTGCTTGACTCCATTGCCTTTCTGTAACTGACAACCCGCAAAGTCAATGCACAATTAAATACCTTATCGATTGTATTTGATCACAAGAAT